ACATAAAACATATTTACAATAAAATTTGAAGCCAGCAAGTTAAACGTAATAAATTACAACTATATGGAAACGAAATGAAAAAAAAAAACATGTGTAAACTTGTCAAGTTGGAAACACTCAGACGGGTATTGTTGGTATCATACAGACTGTGTCATGGCCTTGACTCAAGTTCAAGGTCACTAAAAACAATATGCTTTTACTGGATGTGTGGTCTGAAAGAACATGTGTGAACTTGTCAAGTCGGTAACACAGATAGGTTTGCGTCATAACCAGAGTGTGTCATGGCTTGACGCTCATCTGGACAAGTTCAAGGTCACGAATTAGAAAGTGTACATTATGTTATTGTCTTTCTACTGGCGAAACATTGCAAGTTGATAGGTCCCTTACAAGATTATTTATCATCTTAAAATATGGCATGACCTTGACTCAAGGTCACTGCTCCAACGGAAGACCTATTCGTTGCTCTGCAACGAGCTCGGCTCTAGTTGTATTTTACCTGTTGTTGCTTCATGCAAGATCGTAGCCTTTATAATATCAGGGATAAGAGGGTGGATTTTTTTGGTAGCCATCATATTTTACCCGGATCGTCACATCCGGTTTAGTGACATATTTACTATAGTAATCTATGATTCAAGTTTAGAATATTGGATCAGATTCTACATTTTAATTTGAGTGGTTGTGTATTTTGAGGCTATAAGTAGTTCTTTATTGTCAGCATTAACTTTATAATCAGCTTAATCAGGACTACATTTGTTTACTATGGTGGCATATTTCTGCCCCCTACATGCAAGTTAAATTATGTTAACATACAACACAATTATATAATTATGTAAACATGCTACTTATTTATGTCAACATGCAAGCTAATTAGGTTAACATGCTAGTTAATTATGTCAACATGCAAGATATGTATGTTGACATGCAACTTATTATCTTGCATGTTCACATAAATATATTGCATGTTGATATATAACTCGCATGCTGACATAAATAAGTTGCATTTTGACATAGATAAGTTGCATGTTAACATAATTATCTTGCATGTTGACATAAGTAAATCGCATGTCTACATAATTATGTTGCATGTTAACATGAATAAGTCACATGTTGACATGAATATATTGCACGTTAACATAAATATCTTGCATGTTAACAAAGGGTGAATTAAAAAAAATGACCAAACGCATATTTATCAACCCACAATAAAAATACAGGCAATGAAAATAGATTTCTATGTCTCAGCATATGTCTTTAGATAGTGTCTAAATACCTGCCAAATATCTCGTTGATATCTCAATTAACAAAAAAAGTTATGCCCAAAATGATGCTAAAATTGTCAGGAGTGCAACACCTTTTTGTGACATTTTGAAATTTCAGTATTTTTTGGAGATCTGTGAAATAAATAATAATGCTTTATATTGAAAATAAAGACTTTCCTGATAATATTCAAAGTATTGAGCTTTAAATGTGCGCTGTAGTAACTTTTGTTTAATCAAGTTGTGGTCATGGCTGATGTTTAAAAAAATGTTATACCATGTCAGGAGTGCAACAGAAAAAATGTAGTGTTGCGAAAAAAACATCCCATGTAAAATTCTGAAAGAAAATTAAGACAAAAAAGAATTTTCGAAGTGTAAAACAATAACTGATATACATTTTAAAACTTAAAAATGTTATATAAATCACAAGCAGCATTAATTAAAGTCAAATATATGTGCATACCCAATTATGTCAGGAATGCAACATTCGATGTTTTGTACCCAAGCATGAAAAAACTATTATCATTTTGTGATTTTCCTATTTCTATTTTGGAAAAGAAAGACACAAAGAACATTCTTACCAAATAGACTTATCAATTACCAGATCTGTCTGTGCTTCAGATCTATATTTCTATGGTCAGGAGTGCAACACATTTTTTTAAAGATTCAAGTTGTGTGACGAAAACACTTCTATTCATGCTTAGACGTATTCATTTATTAATAATGATCTTTTTGTATAATTTAATACTAAATTATTGACAGTTTTATTATCAAAATCCTTCCTTTTTCAATTTTATCAATTCAGATGCGTTTTTATCTTTTTGTGACTTTTTTAATGAATGTTAAAAATAAACACACTAAAAAATTGTAATAAAATTCAAGTAATTCCTCCTCAACTTCACTGAAACAACAGAACAAGTTCTTATGTAATTTTCACTTCACAATTCTACTTTAGAGGTCCCAATGCTTTTGGTCAGGAGTGCAACAAATATGTTCGAATTATAAATAATCCAATAAGAATAAAAATAAAGAAAAAATGATGAGTAGAATTTTTCTGGTGGGTTACTGTGTTTGTCCTCTAAAGGAAAATATGCTATAAAATATATTTTATCTTCTAAATATACATTTAAGCTAGTTTTTTTGGCATAAATAGGGAATAATTCCAGATAAATTGCGAATTTCAAATACTTTCATCTGTTTTAATTATGAAGTATTGGACTATAAATATTGCAGAATTTCGTTACTACTTAATGTTGCAAACACTCTATGAATTTTTGTGTTCTACGGTTTTAAGTTTAAATTTTACTGCAGTCAGGAGTGCAACAAAACTGCTTTATAATTACCAATACTTTTCAACTATCTTTACTAAAAAATGAGTCAAAAAAAGGTTTGATACTATTTGATGTTCAAAACACTATGTCTATCAACAAATAACAGATTTTTTTAGTCAATTCAGGGAATAGTTTTCATCATTTCACATATACATGTAGTTTTATATACAATTTATATATATTACACTTTGCAAATAATCATGTGTCAAGGTCTTTAATATATGAAAAACCTGCCGTAAACGATCAAAAATATCAAAACAACAAATTAAATTACAAAGTAAGAATCGGTTATTGTGTGTTATAATTTTTAAAACAATGTTAAATAAAATACATATCAGATGTCAGGAGTGCAACACAATAATGTAACATAGGGTCACTTCAAAATCTAGTATTTTTTGTAAGAGAACTCGTATATAAAAATTCTTTTTTGGCTTAGATTTAAAGAATGTGCTTGAACGGACAAAAAAGTGAAATTTGGGGAATTTTATTGCTTCATATTTTTTTCATATTAAAATTTTTCAAACCAGAATTGAAAAAATAATGTAAAATAACAATCAAAAGGCCATTTTTTTGTCACACATACAACTGTATACAAGAGAAGATACTCAATCAAGGTCTAGTTTTAATCATTTATACCCCTTTTACCATTTCGAAGCAGAAACTATAATTTCTTGTGATTATGTATTTAAGAAAGTCTTTTAAGGTGTAATGATATTTTCTTTTTTCAAAAGAAATTCTAGTAATAAAAATTCTGAAACTTTTTAATCCAATTGTCTATTCTATTGCCACTTCAGGATTTTAAACTAGAATGCATGTGCAATATAATGATATAAGTGAAAAATATGCTAGAAGTAGTTGAATTTTTCCAAAAAAATTCAGTTTGGTGGTCATTTTTTTAATTCACCCCATAAATAAGTCGCATGTAAACATAATTCTGTTGCATCTTGCTTGTTTGTTGTCGTTTACCGGCGTTAGTAAGTATGTTTACCAACATTAAAATTAGATTCTCTAAAAAGATAGGTAACTTGCATGTCAACATAATTATAATGCATGTAGACATAATTATCTTGCATGTTGACATACTTTTATCGCATGTTAACACATTTTATCTTGCATGTAGGGGGCAGAAATATTCCACCATAGTTTACGCTATCGTGGGTAGTTACGATATTCATTACCTATTGTACAGCATAGGGGCATTTTATAAACATTGAATGTATTAGATAATTTGTCTTGTCAAGTTTATTTTATATGTTTTATTTCCAGTTGTTAATTTTACATCGTTATATTTGTTACGATATTGTATGGCAGCTTACAGGCCGCGGGGGAGGGGGGGGGGCTTTTTTTCTGAGTATAGTATATTGTTGTAGTAAATGTCCTTTAGATACTGGTTCCCCCCCCCTTTTTTTATGTTGCAAGGTCAAGCACTGGCAAATTTAAGGACAGTAACTTAGCTTTTTTTTTTTTTTCTTTTTTTTTTTTTTTGCCTGTCAGATAATTTTTGGAAGTTTGTCCCATGTTTTTGAATCAGTTAAGGTTTTTTTTTAATTTATATATTTATATTTTAGATTTTTTTTTAGCTCGTCAGATAATTTTGGAAGTTGTCCCTCCCCTCCCCCCCCCCCCCATTCATGAAACCGTTGCTACGGGCCTGGCTTATGTGGCAAAAATAGTTGTGTGTGGAAACTCAGCTTCCCGTACAAGCTGTTGATTGGTTGATAGTTTGTACGGCATATTTTCATTGAATAATTTGAGTCATGTGACAAGGGATAGGAGGTGTAGGATAAACAAGCGTGTACTACGCTACCACAGATTTTAGCTAGTTGTACTGCGGCAACATTTAGAAAGCTAAAGAAGAAAACAAAGACGGTGAGATACTTATAATGTAAAAACATGCAATTAGCCTAGTTAGAAATCTCCTACCACACTGGATGACCTAAACTTGTGTTTCTGAAGAATCAGCCATGTTTTCTTATGTTATATATATATACAGAAACCCTATCATTTGTGGATGCCTATATCATCATGCTAATGACATGCTATATACGTATGATTGATCATTCATCTTAAGTATTATTCCACCCAGTATCTACAGAGAGAGAGAGGAATCTGGTCTATTTTACATGAGAGCAAATTTAATTGGTGCATCCTGGTAAATAGATGAATTATTTGGATGATGAAGCAATGACCTGTATACATGCTGGGGATTTAGAAATACTAGCCACCCCTTGGGTAGCTTACAGTATGAAACAAGTTAGTCAAAATAAGACCCGATGATAGGATTTGTTTGTTAACAAGGTCATTATAACGACCATAAAATTTACGAAACGCCTAGAATGTTGAAATTCCTGAACATCAACTTATTAGTGAGTAGCATGTTTCGCTTTAAAAATTTATTGTACTCAGAGCAAGCTCTTCTCTTGAATAGTTACAGTCAATCATGAATTTCTATATCATAATGTCTTCAAAATGTCCATCTGATATTTTCAATTAATACATACAAGGTTAACTCAGTCTTTTTATACCCTTTAGAATATTGCCAAAAGACAACCAGTGAAGGAGGATTGACTCTCAATTAACACATTGGACCAATTCTCGGTTTGTATCCAGACATGATTCCCCGCCTGCGCCTCCATGATTACCGTTTTAGATCCTGTATTATGATAACCATTCCCATTCTCTCCTGAATAAAGGAAGAAGCCCTCTCTGGCATCATTAACTCTCAGTGAAGTACCACAGCTATTACTTCCGGTGGTAAAACAAGACATCGTCCACTGAAACATATAGATTCCATGGACAGGTGCAACAAAAATTCCATCCGACGGGTTGTAGTGACTCCCTAAATTGGTGATAACAGACGAGAATTTCAAAATGTATCCAGGGCTTACTCCGCCAATATTAGAACCACGATATGCGTAAAAAGCCACCAGTGTTTTGTTAAATCCAGGGATTCCAAACCCTGAAAATCATGAAAATATTATGAATTATTTCCTTTAGCAGAGCGCAACCTGTACTTAGTTATTGTAAACTTCTTATAAATTTGCACTAAAACATTACATATTCGATCCTTTATTAGAGGAATGGTTCATTCTTTAAAAGGAAATTAGCTTGCCACATTGTGAATGCGTTCGGTTCAGCATATCAGGGATATCCACAAGGCGTTTTATCATCTCGACCCGCTCATTATCGGCGGCAATCGTGATTAAATTTCAGTGCTACATTTTAATACTAGTAGGTGAGTAGTCACCGTGGCTTTCGTCGCCGCGCTCCAGACAGAGAGAAGGATTTTGCTTTTGCTTTTTGCTTTTTGTGATCCCACACAGCCAGCCCTTGAGAATGGAAGTAAGACACAGTTATTTGGGCATTAGTTAGATTAGAGGATCGTTTATCTATGATACACATTTAATGAAATTAGTTTTATTTATAAAGCACATTTTACAACATGCAGTTCTGTGTAGAGTTGCGCTAGGATTCCATTGGCATCGAAAGCAAGTTTTTTATTATTTGCCTAAATGGCTGAGCGGTCTAACGTGCTCTTTTTATACTGCCAGGAAGTTGATATCCTTGTACAAATGTGAATTTCTTTGTGCTTTCTTTTTTTTTCTTCACTTAGGGCAGACAATTGTTGTAAAATGTGTTTTATGTATATGCATGCACATTCCTGACGATGGAGCCTAATACATGTATGATTTTTTTTTAATATTTATGTGACTGTCTTTTGAAGTGTGAGAACAATTAATATATCAGTTGTAGTCCTGATATAAATCATAAATCAAAGGTAGTTCTTTAATTTTTGTTTATATTTAGACCTGGTCTTAAGTGCAAACTGGCTGAGTTTCAAAAACTTCTGAAAATTAAAATATCCGATATTAATAAAAAGTAAACGCTACATGTATTTCAGTAAAAACAATACATTATTTGTTAAATCTCGTTGAAACATAAAAAGTTATAGCCAATCAAGAGGGCACAACCGATATCAATTGATTGACTTTAACATGACTATGGATGTTTTCTATGATAATTCAAGTCTTCTTATAAAATTTTTAGATTTAGAAAGTACATGCTATGATAAGAAAATCTAATTGTGAGTGTGAGAAGGACATCCCCTTTATGGCAATTGGTCTGGCTTTTTTTGGGGGGGGGGGGGGGTATCTCTTTCAACGGTAAAGTACTTATCATTCAGAACTTGTCATCCCCGCTACAAAATGTCTTGATTCTGATTATTGAACAATAAACAGAGGTCATAGTAAGGTCCCAAAGTTTGATTTTTTTTTAAGTATAAAATGCATGAAATAAATGAAATTAGATTTTTAGGGGTTTTTTTTACCAAAATGCAAAAAGGTTTCTTGATCTCTCTGCAATTTAAAATAATTATGGCGCCTTAACCCAACTTTAAGTCATTTGCATATTTCATTTTACCCGAAATCACATTCAAAATATACAAATATTTACTTCTGAAAAGAAAACCATACCAATAATGCTTAAACTCAAAAGGGGGGGGGGGGGGGGGGGGTCTGCATCTTTCCAAGTCAATTGTTATTCATAGTAAAATTACATCACGGTTTGAGACCCGCCTTCTGAGTTGAATTTATGTTGGATTCATATCCGACTTCCAATATTATCTCGCATTCTCTTTTTGATTCGCTTACTCTGATTGGTCAATACTTGTAGCAGAGGTCAGTAGAGTTCAAAATGTGTAATCTCACTAGACGGTGCGATAGTAATTGTCAAAGTCAGTCTATTCGGCCAAGGATTTATGTTGAGCGGAGTGGATCAGAAACCATTAACTAGGGAAGATGAGGGGTCTGCAAAACAATACAAATCATAGTCATCTGTCCCATCTTGTAGATGATGCTAATTAAGGGGAAAGGTTTATTACAATTTCAACAGTGAAATACATGTACTGTGATTTATCTTTATTGAATAAAAGTGATTTTCTCTAACAATGTGAAAGGATACCAAAGTGATATTCTCTCACATTGTGAAAGGGTATCAAATTAAGTAAAAAAAAATAATTTCTGACCTATAATAAGATAGATATAGTAACTAAACCGTCTTGATAGAATCTAAAACTGCCAATTTCTTCCCAAATATGTTGCTAAAATCCATGTTACAACGTTTTAAATCTAACAATTGCTTAGTTATGACGTCTCAACTGCTCAACTATGACATCACCGTCTGAGATAAGAAAGACAGAGGCAGAGGGAAAATCAAAGAAATGTAATAAACAAAAAATTCAATGTTTTGTAGTTGGATATGAAATTTATTTCACTCGTGAGACAGGATTTTTTTTATATTTTCACTCGTACTTATAGCACTAGTAAAATATTTTTTTTAAAAATTCTACCCCACTCGTGAAATAAATTCCATATCCAACTACAAAACATTGAATATCCTCTATTTATCATGGATATTAATATGATGTTTTCATACAAAATGAGAATTGGTCACTTATTTTTATTGTTTTTCTTACACGGGTTCCACCCTGGGGATAAATATTGTTCGGTACCCTAGTATATAACTCCCAGCTATGGCCAAATAAAATTATGAAACTTTAGAAATGAAATATATGGAGATAACGAACAGTATTCAAGCTCAAATGTCCATTAAACAATACAAAATAGGAGCAGAGCAAACACAGACCTCCAAAACATCAGAGGTGGGATCAGGTGCCATGGAGGAGTGAGCATCCCCTGCCGACCGGTCACACCCGCCGTGTGCTTCTTGTCATGATCGGGAAATAACGGAAAATCCGTCGACAATTCAGCGTGTAAATAATGGCCTAACAATTGGTATGAAAAACGTCAGTCAGCATTTGACTCAATGATAAATTGTATTTGCTAACAGGTCATTGTATCAACAATAGAATTTACGAAATGATGACTTTAAACGAGACTGCTGATATTCTTGTTTCATCATTTTGTTTGTCAATAACTTACCTCGTTTTAGAAATTATACATACGTAGAGCATGCTCTTGCGTATCGAATCAACTGAGAGATACACTGTATAAACCCCGTATGCAGTTGATGAAGGTATATTGCTGCATAAGTAAGGGAAGTTGACGATTGAAAAGTTAAAGTCATCACGTTTATCATAAAGCTTGGTTGATAGATTACCATTAACGTCTTTTTCAAGTAAAATATCCAAATATGAAACAAATTTGTCGGACTCTGTGGTATCTTTTGTCTCAAGCTCACCGGGATATATCGTATCGACATAACAATTGAAATAACAATTGTTAATTGATAATACCTCGTCGATATATCTAAATGTCGAGTTGAAGGCCACAGCAAGTGTTTTCTTCTTTTCACGTACAAGATTTTGGACAAATTCTTCTTCATATGAATACAAAAAGGTCTGCTAATAACGAGGCGCAATTGGTACCCATTACGTCGCGGGTACGAATTCCACCGTGGGACGTGGAGACCGGTCCTTCGGATGAGACCGTATAAACCGAGGTCCCGTGTCGCAGTAGCTCAATGGTCGTAAGTGCTGAGCATAGGACAAAATTTGCAGTTCTTCACCGGCAAGTGGCGGCGTCTCCATATGAGTGAAAAATTCTCGAGAGGAACGTTAAACAACATACAAACAAACAAACAAACAATTGGTACCCATGGGAATTCCAATAGATTGTTGGAAGACCTGGTCTCCAAAAACCACATAGATATTGTCAATCAGAAACTCAATCATCTTTTTTATGTCAACTTCAGAGTACTTGTGTGTACAATCAGAATGTTTTTTAACAAAATAATTTTGCAAATGTCCAATGACAAGGTAAGTAAATTTACGAGTTCCATTTTTATTGAAAAAACAGCTGTCAATGATATCAAATAGCCTGGACTTCAATTTATTGTGGGGAATGGTTGTGTATAAAGTTGAAAAGTCGTAAGTTTTTAAGCTGTTGATCTTGGTAAAATCTTGTGATTTCAAATTTTCCAAAAGTTCCTTGGAATTTTTAAGTATCCACATCTGATTAACACTACTTCTCGAATATATTGTTGCACAGTACTCTTGAAGTTTCTCCTTCACTATTGTTAATATCTTAGTGAGGAGTAAAGAAAGAGGCTTGGTTGAACATTTACTGGAACCCGCTATGTATCTTTGTTTGTAAGGATTTTTATGAAGTTTCGGAATCCAATATAGATATGGTAATTCAAATTTATTTTGATTGTTTGGAATATTAAAAATATTCAAAACTGACATATGATTTTGAAGAATTTCTTCCTTGGAAAGGGAACTATGAGTATAAGTTAGATTACCACTTGTAGAATTAAATCCAAGTTCCTCTAAAATACATTTAATATAATGAGCCTTACAAACAAAGACAATGTTGTTACCTGCTTTGTCAGCAGGGACCAGTACGTACTGATCATGTAATCTGTCGAATTCTATTTTCACTTCTGGATTATTAAATACAGATGGATAGATGGTTCTCATATTGCCCCTCAATCTTTTAATGCGCGATTTTAACACAGATCTGATACATTTAATCCATTCTGACAAAGTGTCAAGGTCTTCTTTTTCATATCTGGCCCATCGCCTGGCGTAATCCTCAAAGTCAACCGATGCTCACCCGCCACTCTCGAAGTGCATAATGCCTCATCGTTTTCTATTGAGGGGGTGTTTTTATTTTGAACAAAAAGCAAAAGGAAATAATGATTATTATTCTTCCATAATCACGATCGTTTAACGTAACTTTTTCTATAGATGAATAATCGCATGTCTGACGTTTTCTACTAATTCTTAAGCTATTATTTATACACTGAACTGTTTACGGATTTCTCCGTTATTTCCCGATCATGACAAGGAGCACACGGCGGGTGTGACGGTCGGCAGGGGATGCTCACTGCTCCATAGCACCCGATCCCAACTCAAAATTTTGAGGTCCGTGTTTGCTCTGCTTCAAAATTGAATCGTTTCATTGAACTTTCGAGATTGAATACTGTTCGTTATTTTCATATTTAATTGTAATATTTTATCACAAAAACACAAAAAAGAAAAAAAAATCGGTGAGAAATTCAGTAGAGAAGAGAAAAGATAATCATATGCTCATATAAAGATCACAAGAGGAAGAGCAAACCTACAACTATACTAAGGTTTAATGTATCTACATGTAAAAATTAACTCTAAAGACTTTTTTAGCTCACCTGAGCTGAAAGCTCAAGTGAGCTTTTCTGATCACCCGTTGTCCATCGTCTGTCCGTCCTTCCATCTGTCCGTCCGTCTGTAAACTTTTCACATTTTCAACTTCTTCTCAAGAACCACTGGGCCAAATTTAACCAAACTTGGTACAAAGTATCCTTGGGTGAACGGGAGTGTAAATTTGTAAAATAAAGGGCCAAGTCCCCTTACAAGGGGAGATAATCAAGAAAAGACAAAAAACAAGAACCACTGGGCCAGAAAAGCTGAAACTTATGTGGAAGCATCTTGGGATAGTGTAGATTCTAAATTGTTAAAATTATGACCCCCGGGGATAGGGCGGGGCCACAATAGGGAATCCAAGTTTTACATTGAAATACATAAGAAAAATATTTAAAAATCTTCTTCTCAAGAACTACTAGGCCAGAAAAGCTGAAACTTATATGGAGGCATCCTGGGGTAGGTAGTGTAGATTAGAAATTGTTCAAATCATGACCCCCGGGGTAGGGCGGGGCCACAGTAGGGAATCCAAGTTTTACATTGAAGTATATAAGAAAAATCTTTACACATCTTCTTCTTAAGAATCACTGGGCCAGAAAAGCTGAAACTTATATGGAAGCATCCTGAGGTAGTGTAGATTCTAAATTGTTCAAATCATGACCTCCGGGGGTAGGGCGGGGCCATAATAGGGAATCCAAGTTTTACATTGAAATATAAAGGAAAAATCTTTAAAAATCTTCTTCTAAAGAACCACTGGGCCAGAAAAGCTGAAACCTATTTGGAAGCATCCTGGGGTAGTGTAGATTACAAATTGTTCAAATCATGACCCCCGGGGGTAGGGTGGGGCCACAATAGGGAATCCAAGTTTTACATTGAAATATATAAGAAAAAACTTAAAAAATCTTCTTCTCAAGAACAACTTGGCCAGAAAAACTGAAACTTATATGGAAGCATCCTGGGGTAGTGTTGATTCTAAATTATTCAAATCATGACCCCTGGGGGTAGGGCGGAGCCTCAATAGGGAATCCAAGTTTAACATTGAAATATATAGGAAAAATCTTTTAAAATCTTCTTCTCAAGAACCACTGGGCCAGAAAAGCTGAAACTTAAGTGGAAGCATCCATTGTTCAAATCATGACCCCCGGGGGTAGGGCGGGACACAATAGGGAATCCAAGTTTTACATTGAAATATATAAGAAAAATCTTTAAAAATCTTCTTTTCAAGAACCACTGGACCAATAAAGCTGAAACTTATTTGGAAGCATCCTGAGGTAGTGTAGATTCTAAATTATTCAAATCATGACCCCCGGGGATAGGGCGGGGCCACAATAGGTATATCAAAAGGGGGAAATCTGGTAAAGAGCAGCATGGCCAAAGCTATTCAGGTGAGCGATGTGGCCCAATGGGCCTCTTGTTTAATTACCCAGATTTTTCTTTCAAGGTCAAATTAGATACACATGTATGTGCTCATACAGTATGGCAGATTACCTCCAACTGGAATCCTTATGGTGCCGATATTCTTAAAATCCGCGTGATCATTCCCTGTAAGTTTTCCTACAGCTCTTTCTAGCAAGGTCACTCTGCTCTGAAGGTCAGTCATTATCTTCTGATCCGAGGAGTTGGTTGTATTCTGACCACATACAACAGTGATTAGTAGAAAGATAAAGAAATGGTGTGTGTACATCGTGGACACTGACACGGTTGAAGTGAGATTAAGAAAGAAGATTTTTAGTACATCTTATTTAAACATTTATGTAAGAATGTGATAATGCAGGAACAATTTTCGATAATCTCCTGGGTTTTTTTCTTATTAAGTCATTTAAAGTATATTATAGAAGTAAGAGATAGCCTCTTTTCTCTTTGACTTTTCATTGGTTTCTATTCAAGACCTTAAGAGGTTGCTCTTATCTTTTGAATTCTCTTTTATAGCATAGTATGTCAAGTGTTTGGACGCTGAGCAAATATTAATATTTTACAATAATGGCAATCTTTGTACCATGTTTGTCTTTTGATCTGTAAACTCAACTATAATTGTCCAATTAAATGTATTTCAATAGAGTACGGTGGCATATTTCTGCCCTCTACATGCAAAATTAATTATGTTAACATAAGAAGAAAGTATGTCAATATCCATGATAATTATGTCTTCATGCATAATAATTACGTTGACATGCAAGTTACCATTTTTTTTTTTTTAGAGAATCTAATTTTCATGTTGTTAAACTTACTTACTAACGCCAGTATGCGACATCATAAAGCAAGATGAAAGAGAATTTCGGTGATATGCGTGCTAGATATTTATGAAAACGTACGACTTATATTTATGTTAACATGCAACATAATTATGTAGACATGCGACTTATTTATGTCACCATGCGACTTATTTATATTAACATGCGAGTCATATTTTACATGCAAGATATTTATAATGCCAACGTGCAAGATAATAAGTTGTATGTCAACATACATATCTTGCATGTTGACATAATTAACTCGCATGTTAACATGATATTGACATAAAAAGAGTGCATGTCTAAACAATTATTTTGGATGTTAACATAAATTAGTCGCATGTCAATATAATTCTATTGTATCTTGCTTGCATGGCGTCATATAATGGCGTTTGTAAGTAAATCTACTTACATTAAAATTAGATTCTCTACAGAGATTGGCAACTAGCATGTCAACATAATTATTTGACATAAATAAGTCGCATGTCTACATATTTATGTTGCAATGTTAACATAATTTATTTTGCATGTAGGGGGCAGAAATATGCCTCAGAATTTTTTTTCTTTGAGGTAAATACTGTAACGAAACCGAGGGTATAAGGTTATTACTTAATCAGTTAATCGTGGGCCGCTGTTGGTTACTGGTAACTGGTCAAGGTTGAAATGGTTATCCACAAAGTTTATATACAATCGGAATAATGACCAATTTTTGGTCCACTGAATAATTGGTGAAATGACCAATTTTTAGTTCACTATAATATCTGCACTAGAACCGTGACGAATAACACGTTGTAAAGTTTATGATATTTATTAAGACGATCAAATGGTTCAATTATAAGCACAATGATAAACTTGATTGGTACAACGTTATTTGGTTAATACAAAGATGACGAACCAATGGTCAATCCAGGACGTTTCTACTCTAAATGACTCTTCACTAATGATTTCGTATACATAGACTTGGTACTGTTTGTACATACCACTGTCTTACACCCGAAGTATACGGAGTCGCAACCCAATGCAGACTGACTTCTAAACACAAAACAGCTGTCTTTTATAGACAAAAGTTGTTATGATGACGTATAAACGTCAGATACCAATAACGTCACAATCAATATCTAATTTGTAAGTTAGCGGGTTTTGACCACTAAAATTACTTAATAACGTTGTACCTATATAGAACATATACAACATAACGCTTTGTAATCACAATACATAAATCAAATTGATAAAGTTCAAATAATAAATCATTGTTCAATTCTTTCGTTCATTGTTCATTGACAAATATTTTAGTAGTTTATACACATCGGGTTCAGGGTCCGTGTATTCGGAACTTGTCAACAACAGTTAATCCGAATTTCACAGGTAAACTTATCGGAATGTAACAATACCCCCCTCTTAAGTCGAAACGTCCTCGTTTCGGGGTGCTTAGTCAATCAAGAATTTTTTTTTTATATCTTTTAGAGATGCACGTTACAGAGATAGATTCTCGTCTGCTTCACAACGGAACAGCTTCATCTGGTCATGATGCACATATTTTGGTTTCTCGGCTTTAGACTTTTTCACTTTGTATATCAAATCGGACACAGCACGTAACACTACATAGGGTCCATTCCAATGAACCTGAAGTTTGGGACATCTTCCTTTGGTCCTTGATTTTGATGCAATTCACACATGTTGTCCTGGGGTGTATTGAATCTGGTTTGCCTTGGTGTCATATTTTCGTTTCTGGTTCTCGTTCGCGAGTATCATTTTTCTCCTGGCTTTCTCGTGGATGTCTTCTAAGTTGGTTTTCATCTCGTCAACGAACTGGTGGTAGCTTTCATGACAAGTTTCCCTTGGATTGTGCCCATACACAAGGTCAACAGGTAGCTTTAACTCTCTACCAAAATTTAATTTTGCCGGACTGTATCCTGTAGTCTCATGAACTGACGATCGGTAGGCAAGCATTAGTAATGGTAAAACTTCATCCCAATTCTTTTGGTTAGGTTGTATATACTTGCTTATCATATCTTCTAGCGTTCGGTTGAATCTCTCTACTAGGCCATCACTCTTTGGATTGAATGGGGTTGTTCTTGTTTTCTCTATTTGTAACATCTTGCACAAGTCTTGAAATAATGTCGACTCAAACTGTCTGCCTTGGTCAGTATGAACCTGGAGCGGGACTCCATACCTTGTGATAAATTCATCTACGAATACCTTTGCAATTGTTATTGCCTCTTGGTTTTTGACAGGATAAGCTTCTATCCATCGGGTGAAATAATCCGAAATGATAACAACATACTTGTTACCCTTCTCAGTCCGTGGTAAAGGACCAAGGATGTCAATGGCCACTCGTTCCAGTGGTTCTCCAACTAAATACTGACCCAGTTTTCCTCTGGCTGCCCTTGGTGGATTCTTCCTTGCTTCACAAACGGTACAACCTCTGATATGTTTCTCAACATCGTTTTTGTAAGATGCCCAGTAGAACCTTTCTCTTATTTTCTCGGTAGTTTTGGATATTCCCAAATGTCCACCCGTAGGGTTGTCATGTACCAACTTAAGTATTTCGTTAACACATGCTTTTGGTACCACCATCTGGTAAAAGATTTGTTCATTTTCTTCCCATGTCCTGAAGAGTACTCCATTTCTTAATATCAGCCGGTTCCATTGTGACTAATATGTCTTAAGCTCTGTTGGTTCCTTTGCTATTATCTGCCATGTTGGTCTGTTGTCCTCTGTCTTCCACTTTATTATTTTGACTAATATTGGATCTGAATTCTGCTCCTTTTGTAGGTCTTCTTTCGTCTTTGTCATGTACCAATTTTGAGCATCGATATGGTCTTCTTTTAATTTCAATACAAGATTATGGTCCTCTTTGGTCTGGTCGTTTGTCTCCTTCTTGTCACAGTAGTTACAAGGTGCACATGGTCGACGGCTCAGTCCATCACTATTAACATGTTGTTTTCCTGGTCTATGTATGATTTTGAAGTTGTATGTCTGTAGAACTTCAAGCCAACGAGCTACTTGTCCCTCTGGATTTTTGAAGTTTAGGAGCCATGTTAATGCTCCATGGTCCGTTCTTACTAGAAAGCTTTTTCCATAAAGATAATGGTGATAATGCTTTATTGAACTCACAACAGCCAAGAGTTCTCGTCTGGTTACACATTGATTCCTTTCTGGTTTACTGAATGCCTTGCTAAAGTACGCAATAGGTCTTTCTATGCCATCCTCTATCTGGGATAGAACTCCACCCATGGCGAATGCACTAGCGTCGGTGTCCAATACAAAAGGTAAGCTAAGGTCTGGGTATCGTAAGATAGGTGCTGAAGTAAGTGCCGTCTTTAGGTTGTGAAATACTTGGTCATGTTGAGGAGTCCAATTGAATTTCTCTGCTTTTTCTGTAAGTTTGTGGAGAGGTCGAGCTATATCTGTGAATCCTTTAATAAATCTTCGATAATAAGAACACGTTCCTAGGAAACTTCTTACATCTGTTATTGATTTTGGTATGGGCCACTCTTTAACAGCCCTTACTTTACTTGGACAGGTAGATATTCCTTCTTGACTCACTATATGACCAAGGAAGGCAACTTGGTTTTTGAAGAAGTCACACTTCTTGGGTGAAACCTTCAATCCTGCATTCTGTAATCGTTGTAGTACAGCATCTAGATGGTTAACATGACTGTTGAAATCTTTAGAGTATACTATAATGTCATCTATATAAAGTAAACAAATTTCGAAGTTCAGACCAGCTAAAACGTTCTCCATTAGTCTCTCAAATGTGGCGGCTGCGTTGCATAGGCCAAATGGCATGACCTTAAATTGGTAGAACCCATGTGTTGTAACGAATGCCGTCTTGTCTTTGTCTGCAGGGTCCATCATAACCTGCCAGTAACCGCTTGCCAAGTCTAGACAACTGAACCATTTCGATCCTCTCAAGGCGTCTAACGAGTCATCTATTCTCGGAAGAGGGTACGAATCTTTGCGCGATACCTCATTCAGCTTGCGGTAATCAATACAGAATCGAATGCTACCATCCTTCTTGGTCACCAAAACGATTGGTGCACTCCAGGCACTAGATGATGGTTCTATTATCCCTGCATTGAGCATTCTCTGTACTTCTTTCTTTGCTGCTTCTTTCTTGTGAAGGGGTATTCGTCTAGGCTGCTGCTTAACCGGTCTCGCATCTCCTGTGTCAATTTTGTGTGACACAACATTGGTCTTCCCTAGGTCGGTCTTCGATTTAGCGAACACACTAAGGTGTTTTTGTAGAAGGTCAAATACTGTTTCTTGTTGTTCAGAGGTCAGGTGCTTGATACATGAGTCCCATAGAGGTTTCATATAGGTCGTGAAATTTGTATCTACGGTTGGTTCATCATTGCTGATATTCTTGGTTTGTAATTTGTCGTTTGG